TTTTTTTCAAAAAAAAATTTACATACAATCAAATATTAGACAATATGTTGTGTCCGCTCCTATAAATCCTATACTAATGGAAGAAATTTTCTTCAATCTTTACTCAAATTTTCACCTTCAACAAGGTTATGTGCAGAATCCATGTCACCTTTGTGCCGGCTAAAAGGTCAAGGTCACACTTGAAAAGTCATCAAACATTGACTTAGAAAAATGTTCTTAAATTTTTTAACATGTACTTGAAATAATTCTGAAACTAGCGCACGGCATTTGCTTGAACTTGAAAGATATATGAGGTGGTGGCAAATAAGATATGCAGGTCCAAGTTTCATTACTCTGTATGAATTTTGACAAAGTTATGCCCTTTTTAAGTCTTCAAATGTACGTACAACCAATACTAGACAATATATTGTCTACTCTATAAATTCTATACTAATGGAAGGATTTTCTTCAAACTTTACTCAAATGTTCAACCAAACTGGGTGATGTGCAAAAACCCATCTTACCTTGTGTCAGATTAAGGTCCAAGGTCACACTTGAAAGTCAAAAATTGACTTTTAAATAAAATGTTTAATACAGTTGGGAAAATGAAAGGTTATTTGTAACTGTTTCGAACATGATTTGATAATATATATTTATACTATTACCTGTACAATAAGTCTTTTTTCACCAGAGATAATTTCTTTTTATGTATTTGTGCCACATAAGTTATTCCCTTAACCACCTTTCCAAGTGGTCTTCTGTCAAGGACATTGGTGGGGGTATGAATCGCATTCAGCGATAGTTCTAGTTGACCTAGTCATGAAACCTTACAGGAATGTTGATCAGCATGTGAAGTTGTGCACCTGGGTATATTCATGTGAATATATTCAGTTTTTTATGCCCCCGGGCATATAGTGATTGAACCGTCCGTCCGTCCGTCTTGTCCGTACGAAGTTAACCTAGAACGGCAAGTTGGGATTTTTCTTAAGTTCTATCTGTTACCAATGGCTTCTAAGTTTACACACTTACTATCAATACAAAGTACAACGATCTGGGCAAGTTTCATTAACTCTGCTTTCATATTTACCAAGTTATTGCCCTTTTTCAGCACTTAGAAAATGAATAATGGTTAACCTAAAAAATGAATAATGGTTAACCTAAAACGGCAAGTTGGAAATTATCTTAAGCTCTATCTATACTAATGGCTTTATAATTTCCACACTTACTTATCAAATATCAAAGCACATGATATTGAAATAAGTTATATAACTGTGTCATCCATATTTCCCAGTTATTTCCCTTTTTTTCACTTTGAAAATAGGGCCTTGTCTGGTTAACCTATTTCGACAAGTTGGATTTTATCTTAAATTTCTCCTAATTGCTTAATTTCTTTACTGATATCTTTTATATTTAGTAGGTGGATACCTTTGATGGTCCTTTATGTTTTTTTTAGAGTAAGCGGTCTCTAGGGTCAAGGTCAAGGTCAACTGGTTTAAAAAATAAATATAAACCTTTTTGCTCATACAGCCTTTATTTTTTAGTTGATGTCTTTAGTTTAATACAAACACCTCCTTCTTTGGGGTGTAGTATGGGGTCATTTGGGTCAAGGTCAATGTTACCAATGTCAAGGTCACCAATGTTAAAAATAGATTTTTACAGGTGTATTGACCTTTTTCTATAGACAGATGTTATTTATAATTGATAGAAACATAAACTTTGATGGAGTTAGTGGTCAAGTTGGGTCAAGGTCACCAGTGCTAAAAATAGATTTTTACACATTTGCTCATACAGCCTTTATTAAGTGACAGATATATTTTATATTTGGTAGGAAGATAACTTGCATGGTAATTCATCCTTTTGATTGGGGTAGGGATCAGTGGGTCAAGGTCACTTGTGCTAAAAATAGATTATTACACTTTTGCCCATACAGCTTTATTTATTGACAGATGTATTTCATATTTGGTAGGAAGATAACTTACATGGTATTCTTCTTTTGGATAGAGTGAGGGGTCAGTTTGGTCAAGGTCACCAGTGCTCAAATAGATTTTTTACACTTTTGCCCATACAGCCTTTATTTAATGACAGATGTATTTCGTATTTGGTAGGAAGATAAACTTGCATGAAGTTGAATATTTTTCAACTTCACAAGTCAGAGCAATGACTTGGCAACTTATATTTTTCACAATTACAAAATGCCATGACTTTGTCAAGCTATAAAACTTGTGTTTACAATTTTTTGGTGATTTTTCTGTCCATAACTGAGTGAATGGGTAAACATTTATGAAGTATTGCTACTGACAAGAATCTGAGCCGGGGGCATTTGTGTTTAACAAACACGTTCTTGTTTAGAGTTATTGACCTTGACTTAGTAAAAATTTGCAATTTTCAACTTATGTCGCACGTAACTCAAAAAAATATTTGACCTAGAGTCATGAAACCTTACTGGAGTGTTGATCAGCATGTGTTGTTGTGCACCTAGGTATTTTGTATAGATGTATTTAGTATTTTTAGAGTTATTGCCCTTGTTTAAAAATTTCTAATTTTTAAATTGTGTCACACGAAACTCTAAAAGTATTTGACCTAAAGTCATGAAACCTTACAGGAATGTTGCTCAGCATGTGTAGTTGTGCACCTGGGTATTTCCGTGTGGATATTTTAGTATTTTTAGAGTTATTGCCCTTGACTTAGTAAAAATTTACAATATTTAACTTGTGTTGCACGTAACTCAAAAAGTTTATGACCTGTAGGCCTGAAAGTTTACAAGAATGTTGGTCAGCATGTGTACTTACGCACCTTGGGGTTTTCTTGTGGATTTATTCAGTATTTGTAGTATTTGCCCTTTACTTAATAAAAGATTTTTAGTTTTCAACTTGGGCACATGTAGCCAAAAAAAAAAATTGACCTAGAGACATAAGATTGACAAATTGGTGGAGTGTTGGGGCACCCGTGTCTTATGGACACATTTCTAGTGTCTCCTGTTTCATTTTTGTCAATCTTTATGTTGTTAGAAAACATGTATGAAAACATTTTAATTTTTAACAGAGTAATGATACATGTATTATAATACAAAACTGAATGAAAATACTCTGTAAAAGTGCATGGCTCAGTTGTTCAATTGTTTATTTTGAATCTGAAATTTTGTAATATAAATATGCCTATGTTGTAACATTATTTTATACGTGGATATAGATATATCAATTTACATAACTTATGTCTGATTTTAGGATGAGGTAGCAAAACTATACACACAATGCTCAGAACAAAGTAAAGCTAAATTAGAGGTACGTGAACTTTTTATGTAATTTTTGTCAATGTTTTGATGCATTGTTAAATTGTTAATGTAGGATATTGTGTTTAACTAGGATGAATTACAGATTCTTAAATAAGGTAGCCAACATATATTGTATTTTATAATTTCTTATAACACACAGCATATTAAGGCAATGTTAATATGTTATCTCAGAAAAATCCATGACATTCAAAATTCACATTGTAATATCCCAAATTTGTCTTATTTCTTCCTATCATTTACAGTTGGGGCAATAGCTCAGTTGGTTAGACCACTGACTGTCACTCCTGAGGTTCGGAGTTTGATCCTGGGTAACACCCTTGTGATTTTTCAGAGACACTTTCTGTATTTCCTACCTACCTAGAGGTGTACTGGTAAGAAATCCAGGTAATCCTTGCGTGTATCAGTGCCATATACTGGGCATGTAAAAGAACCAAGGGGTCTATTTAATAAGAGCTAGGGACTGGTTCCCGGATTCCCTTGTATCTCATAGCTGTCTATGTAGTCTAGAGTCATGTCTACATCCTTGCAAGGGGTTTGACATTAATGGAAGATAGATAAATCATTTATATATATATATGTATGTATTACTGCTTATTCATATATGTAAAACATTTTTCAGAGTTGTTTAACAGACATTGGAGCATCAGCCACAAGGTTTAAAGATGTGGTAGAGTTTGGGTTTACACAATTAACCACAGCTGTGATAAAACCAAGATTAAAACCTCAGATAGATATCTTCTTATCTACGTCTCATAACATCAGTGATGTAAGTAATGCTCTAATGTGTGTACTTTAAAGCTGCACACCTTTAGATTAGCCAAAATATTTCATGAAAATCAAACTTGAGGAAAAAAATGTAGTAACATTTCAAGAAAAGATAAAAGATTTTCAAGATTCAAGAAACAACGTACATGTTATGTGCAATTTATTATTTATTAACCCTTTCCCCCATGAGCATATCGTGAAAAATGGCCATTTTAACTGAAAAGCCTCCTCTTACAAGTTCAAACTGCTATGAAACTATGAAAAATGCTTCAATACTAATCAAACTTGGCACAAATGTTGACTGGACCATTGCCTTTGTAACGACATGCTCAGTCTTAAATTTCCTGTTACCATGGCAACGAGGGGACATCTCAAAATTGCCAAAAATCACTATTTTGCCTCGATTTTTTCCATCAAAATTTATTTCAAAGTGCTGCAACTTCTCAATGGATTGAGATAGAGTCAAAGGCTTTTCAGCGTTGGTTACACGTTACTTTATGATCAACCTGGGGTCATTTTAAGCCTCTCACAAGTCCAAAATTTTCTTGGCGATGAGGGGGACTCCGCCCCCCTTCAAACCCCCCAAACAGAAGGGGGCACATCCCCCTTCTGGCAACCCCCTAATGTATTATTTGGATGGGGGACGGCGCCGAAAAATGGTCACTTTTTTTAACAACATTTCTCAAACGAAAAACAGTGTTTGGGGTCTAAATAGGACATTTTTTCACTGTTTGAGGCCTCAAAAGGGGGGGGGGGCAAAAAGCCGTCGAAACACGCTTATATAAGGGAAAAGGCATATTTCTAAAGCAGTATGGACTAATTTTGCATATTTTAACCTCTATTTTGGTAATTTACGTGGATTGTAAGCACTGTGTGCAATGTTTAAATTAATATCTTTGTTCACTTCACAATATTTTACTTTTCAATACATTTTTAAAATTTTCATGAAAAATAAGCATGAATCTGGCATGCTGCTTTAAAGATTCTGTCATATAAATGACTCTAAATATAAATATGCCTTCATTTGTTTGATATACTTTTAACTGTAAAAAATATCATTGGACATAGACATGGATACATTTTTATAGTCTTTAGTTACCAAAAAGTTAACACTGTCTTTGTTAGTATACATATTTTTCCATCAGAAATGCTATCAGTAATTTTACAAAAACGGCAAATTAAGGTCCTAGAATTAGAAATGTTAGCTATATTTGTAAGGGAGTAAATATTTGAGAGATTGTTTAGAAGTTGTGTTTTATGAAAGAAATGTTTAAGAGGATTCTACAAAAGTCACCACTCATGGTGATGTGATTGAGATATTTTAACTAAATAATCCTAAGTTACCACGTTAATGATAATGGTTTAATATCTATATGTATAATTTTAGGATGATTACACCAATTTTGAGGCCAATGATCCATGGGTCCAGAATTTCATTGTTTCATTAGATAGTATGCTAGGTAATTTTAAGGTAAGTAAATGCACTTTATTATATTATCCCCATGTGAAATATCCCAACATGATATATGATTTATGTAATTGAGAGATGTAAATACCAACTAACAAAAGGGTAATTTAGAAATAATATCAGTCTCTGTGATGTGTATTGGCTATTTAACACCAGTTTGGAGTTTTGATGTGTAGGAATTGATCATAGAAAGGCTGTAGGCTTTCTCCATAGTGGAAGTAGTAAATGTCATGAAATCATTTGGTTTATGAAGTCAATATGGTTTGTAAACATTCTTTTCCAATGTTCTATATATATTAAACTGTGTAATTAGGTCTCAATTGTTCAGTCTTTTTTAAATAAGGAAATAGTGTGAATGGGTTAGAAAAGGAATTACAAGTTCTGTAGCTAAAGAAGAAGTTACCTTATAAAACAGAATTTCAGGCAGTTAATGAACATTATCAAGATTCATCTACTTGTTAGAAAATTCTGCCTAACATAAGGATAACTGTTATTTGTAGCCAAATTCTGTACAATTTTAAACACTCCTGCAATAGTAGTAATTTATGATTTTTAATACAGGAATCTCTGACAAGCAAACAATTATGAAAAGTTTTTGTGAGTTTGATAACAGGCGAGATAACAACATCATTAGAAAAAGCTGTTCTCAAATCTGCATTTAACAGGGTATGTTATGAAACAATTTTGTAGTTTTTCACTTTATCAATAAGGCTTTCAATCAGTTATCAGATATAGAGAGAAACATGTTGGCTGATGGTACAGAGCGTTTTATTGTTACATACATAAACCATTTTCTCTCGAACTCAGATCGCTGGAATACCTCCCTTCGCTCGAAGTCATCGCCTGGTCCCGGCAAAATTCCCTATATAACATATATTGTTCTACCTATGAACGCTCGAACTCTCGAACCTTATCTCTGGTCCCTTCGGCAGAAATATAGAGAAAATCACATCTTTTCGGTCGAACACTAAAAGACAACAAAAGCTATGGGTCGACATGTTCTAAATAAGTGTCAGCCAGTGACACATAAAATGAATCTACGGAATGATACTTGTTTGTGCATTGTTTTAGTAAATGACTACAAAAAAAATGCTGCTGTTAAATTTTATTTATTTTTAGCTCGACTTTTCTATGAAAAGGGGAG